TGCTCCAAACAGTACTTTTCAAAATGATGAAGTCACAGGTTACTTTGCCACAACAGACAAACATCCCAGTTAGGAAATGGTCTTGTCAGACAGGTAATAATGTGTTAATGTTGTTATGTTTTATGTTGTTTTTAAAAAACTTTACATCCTTGATGTGCTAACTCTTATTTGTCCTGCTGATCTTTCTGATTTCTGTTTGGTAATGGCATTCTTTTGGACCATCTTGGGCCACAGTAAAATCCAGATGAGGAGAATGTCAGGTCCTGAGAAAAGCTGCTTTGCATGCTTTCTTGTCAGTCTAGTGGGACAGGTTTTTGTTTGCCAGTGGCTGGTAACATGTCAGTATTGCACTATGACTCCTTTTTTTTTTAATGGAACCAAATGTATCTGGATATGGATCTTGCTCTGTCAGTGTTCCACACCTACAAAAAGAATAAATCCAGGTTTTGAGATCTTACCCTGCTGTTGTTTCTAAGGTAATTTTTGCATGGAGATATATATATATATGTATATGAATCACTTACCTTCCATCTTCTCTTATACTTTTCTTGAAGTTACTTTACTGCTACTTTTGAATCCCTGGTTATCAAGATCATGCCAGTGCATTTGATTTTTCGGGTACGTTCCAATTACCTGTGGAGTTACTGGTGTACAATAAGGGTTTGGTTTTGCTTGTGAATTAACTCTGCAAAAATTAAGTTGTCTGCCTGTATTTTTAAACCCAAATTGGGTCCATGCAAATGCAGAAGTCCATGCACAGGGACAGACGATGCTGGATGTCACTGTACAGTGCTGTGATGGAGGAAGTAATCCCAGGCAGACCAGTCTGACAACTAGAGAGCTACTGAATATCTGAGCATCACCCTTTTGAAGGCTTTATCTTCCAAGAGCTTTGTCAGCTTGTGTGCAATATGGCACGAATGCATAGAGCAAGTCTTAATCTAATGCTGAATATGAATCACTAAGCCCTTTAAGAAAACATGGAACTAGCAGCACATCATCAGGCTGTAACATTTACAAAACCCACAGGCTTTTCCTCCTCATGAATTAGCCAAGAAGTGTCTGTGTTTCAATGCTGAGTTTAAATCCAGTGTGGGGACTCACCTTTCCAGGTGGAGGCTGAGATATACTTGCCAGAAAACAAAAGTCAGGTTTGAAAAAAACAACAGAAAAAAAATTTATAAAAGACAACATAGAAGAAACAACAATGTGGATTTTTTCTCTCTGACTAAATAGAGTTCAGCTGCTGCCAGCGTCATGCTAAAGAGGCGCAAATGCTGCATTCTGTCTTTTGAGACTGGTGGGCTTTACGAAGATGAAGGGGTCGCCAAACAATTCAAGAGTGACAGTTACTAGAGATCATGTTCTTCATTATGAGGTTAAGGCACTTCATTGCAACGTACTGACCAAATACTGCTATGGGAAACTACACCTTGTCTCTATTTGACAGATTGCTGCTTTAACGACCACCAGCTCCTGCAATTGTTCTCCTGGATGTGATGCAAACCCTTTTTCTTCATCAATAGTTGTGACAGTGCTGTTATCATGTAAGAAAACACAGCTTTGAAATATTTCTTTTGTTTTGATTTAATGTATATTTTTTTTATCTAACACAAAACCTCACAAACAGTTCACGTGATGGTGCTGGTTTTGAGAAACTGAGTATTAGAACATAATAGAGGGCCACAAGAAGTGCTGGGCCATCTTAGTCTGGCATCTGCTTTCCTAAATAAGATGTCCCACTACAGTCTCAACTCTCAGACATAGTTCTTGCCCTGCAAGTGCTGGCAGATGTGTCAGCCTGAAGAGCTTTCCTGACCATGACTTGAGGAACGGCCTGGACACTGCTGTCAGACGTAGGCAACGAAGCTGGTGTACGCCATCCCAACACTGACAAACTTGAAACCAAGGCAACCAGAAGGAAAAGGTTGATCCAGCCACTCTACTGGGCACTTCTGTGACCAGTGTGGTGTATGCACAGCCTGCCTGTGGCCTGAAAACCATCTTTACTGGGCATGAGGCAAGCAGCACATCTTCTGGACTGAGATGCGTCAGAGGAGACAGCCTATAGCACTTGGTGCAGAGCGGCAAGCTGGGAGGACAAAGACTGAACCTGAAGGGTGATTCCAGCTGAATATTGTCCTTGAGCAGTATCCATGTAATGTTTTAAGGGCAACCCTTCAGCTCAAGAATCAAAAAGGCTAAAGATTCCACATTAATTAGTAATCTCTGGAGTCATATACATCTGTAATAACTACCTGCAGATCAAAGATGTTTCATGTTTAGCATATTTCAACATCAAGATGGAATTAATATTGGAATTTCTGTAATTAAAGTCTTGAAATTAGTACTTGGAAGAGGCCAGTCTATTCTTCTATTTATTTGATTGAACACAGCCAATTTTTAAATAATGCTTCACATCCAAGGGTACAATCAAGGTTTTGGTACCAGCTATCCAGGACACAAAAGTTGCTGTATGATTTGTAGGCTGCTATAGGATTATCCCAGCTGGAGGAATGGGACCCAGAAGGCCCAGTGTGTATGATCATTCCCATGGACAGGCGCGGAAGAAAATGCTGTAAAAAGAAGAAAACGACAAATGTTGGAATACCAACCTTATCTTCAGTCATTGCTGGCATTGCTGCTTGTTGTTAAGTAAGGTACTATTTTGATTACGCTAAAACCTTACCTAGAGAAGTAAAAATAGTGAAAATATTCCTTAAAATGTTTCCATTTGCAAGTCTCAATCCCTGAACCAAAGTAACCACATACTTGAGAGATCTGTTTGGTACCATTCCAAAAGAACATACCCTTCTGCTTAAACAATTTGACATTGAAAGACAATTACATATCAAACTAGGCCTAGTCAAGTTTGTAGTCTAAAATAGATAATGGAGAGACTTGAGGCACCAAATCTTTGCAATAGGGTAGATAAGGTAGTGATAATGAATAAACCAGTTTTGTGGAGACAGAAGTGTTGTAAACAGCCCAAAAGAACTAAGCATGTGCAAAAGAAAAGTTCAACTAAAGGGCACAGTGAGAAAAGTTTCGACAACCACCAGAGGACCCTGAAGACCACCAAGAGACTCCAGTGCGCATGCGAAAAGGAAATTTACGTATCTTAATGGATTCCTGGAAATGTAATGAATATGTTAATAATTTCTTGGAAAAGTAATGAATATGCATGTTTTGATAGTAGAAAGCTTTTCTAGAGGACGAGTCAGTATGCACGATAGGTGGAACGATCCTCCCGTGCATCTGGCGCCACAACAGAATTTGCCTGCTTCTTAAGGCTACATTGGTGTTAAGAAGTTCATTCCTGATTTCAGTGACATGTTTGTCCTTGATTTCTTTTCTGAAGCTTCCAACCTTCCCTGAAACTGTGAGTTGGGAATGTTAAAAATAAAAAAGTGATTTGAATTTATCCATTTCTATTAATTTCTATTACAAAAATGAAGGCAAATTCTTCAGATTTTAGGCTTGATAAATGAGACATAGTTGTAATAACGATTTATTATATTGCTTCCGGAGTTACCTCTCCAACATACTGCTCTGGCTTTCAGTGTTAATTAAGGTGGGGCTGTGAGTGCCCCTCTCATTAACCGCAAAGCTTATTTTCTTGCATAAAACTTTGAATGCTGGGCAGAGGGGATTACAAAAGACAGTAGAGTGACTAAAGCAGTTTATGTTATCAGTGATTTGGAAAAAAAATTATCTTTATTAACCTCTAAATGCTTTATTTGTTACAATGGTAGTTAAGTGTTATAACGCTGAGATATGGTTTAAACAGAGGAATGTATTATACACAGCATTGTGCCATCTCTGCCACATTTGTTTTGAGTGATGGTTTTAATGTAAACCAGACCCAAGATATGTCTGTCTAGGTTTCCTCACATCTCCCTTTTATCTTTGTCTAGCATCTCCAATTGCATGAACAATCTTCCCTGGGGTTGTTGTTACTGGTGTCCTTTAAACATTTCCAATTTTCATTATATGCACTGCCTGTAATAACTCCTAATTATACAATAATCCTTTGGATTATAAAAGGCAGCTTTCTACATTATTTCTCAGACATGAGTTAACTCTCCTCTCTCTTCCTTCTTCTGTGGTTTACAATGTTGATACAGTAAATACAGGCATTCGTTAATTTAATTTGGTACCTTTCTGCTGCTACATAGGGAGATCACAAATGTGGACCTGTTATCCAGAACAAAGAAATATCATCAGCAAGTTGTGTTATTATTTTTCTGAAAGATCAGTCACTGGAGTGCCTTTGAACACGGTGAATGCCCACCTGCCTGCAACCTTCGCAATAGCCTGTGCAGGGGGCATCCAGGCTGTCGCACAGCAAACAAAGGGTTTGGTTTTGAACCAGCCTCAGGGATGCCCTCTATGGTTATCACAGAACTACAGCTCTGGTCCACTGTGGCAATTAGGACTTAAACCAAATTTTCTGTGTCCTCCCTGACTAAGTCTTCAAAAAATAGAATAGACAAATGTTCTGGCTTCATGAATGGAGTTGATGGGATAGCATTTTACCAATGAACTCCCAAGAAGCAAGGTGTTTTAGGGCACTGTTATGGTCTTAATCCCAGATAAAATGTGAAATTACCAAAATGCATAATCTGGCAAGGGCTGAATAGTCCCAGTATAAACAAGAGCATTTTATGAAAAAAATAATGAATGCTCTATCAAATTCCACATAGTGCAGCACAAGGGCTGTTTGCAACTGCTATGCAATTGAGATTGGGAAAAAGTATTCTCCAGCTTTGACCAGTCCAATTGTAAAACCCCCCCCCAAATGCTTCTTTCATTTTGTCCCTTGGAGATGAGTGAGAGCTCACTCTGTATTTTCAGTTCATCTGTGGTATTGTACCTGAGGGAAGGCCCTTGAGTCCATATACTTTTTTTCCTTCCTTCCTGTCCTCTTCCCCCACCCCAAATACCACTATTAAAACCACTATTTTTTTGGTTCAAACAACAAGGCTAAACAGGTGAAATTTTAAATAATGATTGAGGATTTTTTTTATTCATTTAAGTTTCAATATCATTACAGAAAATGTTATGGTACAGAGTTGTTTAACATTAGTTTTATTTCTTTGCTCATTTAATTTCCACACGAATGCTGGTAACACTAATATCTGTACAAGATCAGTCTTTGATTTTTTTTAGTTTTTAGTTCTGTACATTTTTAAATGTATTGGTTAAAAAGGCTGTCAGCACTTAAGGAAGCAATTTTTTTGTTTGTTGAAATAAAAGGTATCCAGTTACTGCCCAAGAGTACTGAGCTGGGTGGCTGCCGGGACAAGAGAGATCCCTGAATGCGCAGCGAGGTGAGAAAACCTCGGGGCTTCATTGGGTTCCCAGAGCAGCCACTCTGCTTTTGGCACTGTGCACATCAACACGAGATACAAGATAAAGAACAAGCAGAAGCTCTCTGTGAAGCGGTTATGAAGCATACTAATAAGGGAAATCCAAGTGTTGTCTACGCTAGTATAAATAAGCAGACAGCCTTGTTTTAAGAGCATAAGTAGTTGTATCTTAAAGATGAGAAAAAACACAAGTTCTGCAGGCACCTACTGCTGTCTACTAAAAGCTACCGCTATTAGAACTAGCATTGAACACACAAAGCAATTGCAAGGAAAGGAAAAAGTTGCTTTGATATAATCAGAATAAATTTCTTTGTTAAGATTTCTTTTAAAGTTTTTTTTAAAAGGTATTTATTTAAATTCCATTTGAAATATAATTCAAGATGTTGACTATACTGATCAACTTTTATCCAAATCAGAAAAACTAGCTGTGCCGTTGCATATTACAGGATACAGTCAATGATATGTGGACATGCATCAAAGCTTCGCTCTTGCTGGTGACATCATAGCCGTCCAATGACCATGACATCCACCACCTCCCCCTTGTGAAGCTCCACATACTGCTCTGTCTTTGGAGGTAGCATCAACAGTCCATTGGCACTGCGCATACTCATCAGACGACTACTCATCTGATTCCCTACAGGAGAGCGAAAGAAAAACTTGTTAAGTTTTCAGTTAGTTTCAAATGCTGCAACACACCACGCGGGAAACAAGAGCTGTTCTTATGGAGATGTTAATACTGCAAACTTATTCCTAGAGCTGGGATCTCACTGTTCCAAGGTGGATGGACACAAGTCTGTAAAGAATTAGTCAGCCTCTCATCGCTCTGGCTCTCAAAACTCTCAATGCCTCTGCTGATTGCTTTCCTGTCCAGTCTGCCACATTATCTGTACCTCATATCTTGTCATAGTAAATTGCTTTTCTGCTGGAATTTCTAATCCTATCAAAATTACTTTATTTTTCAATTTCTATACTTAATTCTGATTGTACAAAGACTAAAACCAGCATAATCTAGATAATGTTTTTAATATACTGTTATAGAATAAGTTTGATTAACTGTATTCTTCTCTCTGAATAGTCTCGTTTGGCATTATTACTAGCACTAGTAGCTAAAGTAGTTGAAGCCTTAGGCTGCAAGACCTGATGGAGAGTAAACTTTTTGATAAAACTGATGCTGCTAACACAGAACTAGATGAATCCAGCAGATGTGAGCAGAATGAATAAAGTAAGGACCAAGGAAACAATTCCAAAAGCATGAGGTAACTTCAGAAGAAGGCCAGCCCAGAAACAAAGAAAACCAAGAAGAAATCAAGACACCACTGATCAGAATTAAGTGACTGGACTTAGGGATTGGGTGCTGCATGGTATGGACATAATTGGAGGGTGCGATCTGAGGTAGAGGTCCCTCTCCAGAGGCACCTCGCTTGAGCCATAACCCGAGAAGTAATAAAAGAGGAATTGGAAACCTTCACTCAGAATTTACATTTTTCAGCGGGATCCTAGGGTTGGACCCTGCTATGGTGGTTGGTTGTGTAAATCCATATGTATACCTCCTCAAAAGAATGAGTTTCTTTGAGACACTGAGCTTCACAACATGTTCTGAAGCTAAACTGTGTCATATTGGTAGTACTGAGAAAAAATGAAATGCAATAAAAAGTCATGCCCTTTAGTTTCTTGGTTTTCAAACTTCCAGATTAACAGATAAACCATTCCAGACAGTCTGCCTGTGTAAGGAAAGAAATGGTGCACAACAAAACATAGTTAAACTAAATACAGCATTATAGATAATAAGCAATACCTTGATTTATACCTGGAAATATGTCGGAAGCTGTGAGAACTTGGGAGTCAATAGTAAGAGCTTTCTCTGAGTAAGATGCACTTGAGCTAATGTTTTCCCTGTGGAGATTTGTATATAGTACTTTGTATTGAACAATTTGGATGTAGCAAAAAGACAATTAGTTGTTTGAGGACCTGAATCTCTTGAGAAACTGTGGCAGAATCGGTCTTCCAGCAGTGTACAGCTAAAAAAGTATTCAAATACAGTATTTACCAGAACTGCAGCTCAGTATCCAGAAGTATCCCTAGGTGGCAAACACGACTAATAAAAGCCTTAGTCTGCTTTAAGAGAACATATACAGCCTCTGCTATCTCTTCTATTTTTTCAGTTCAGCTAGAATCACACTTCTTTTATTTATATTGTTCCTACCTATGCTCCAACTTGTGTTTGTTTAGTACATGTATAAGAACAAAAGTAAGCAAAAGTGCCTGTAAGTGTGAGTAAACATGGGTGGATGTTTATAAAATGGCATGTGTACACATATGCAAGCATACAGGTGTATTTTGGGGGTGTGTGTGTGCATGTGCGTATACAAGCACATTATTCAGATAAAGGAAGTTTCGATGGTTAAGTTGGTAAGTCATATCATGACTGAATTTTATATTAATATACGTGTATGCATGTGCACAAGTGTGTGTGCAAATCAGTCTGCGTAAGGAAGGTTATCTAAAAAACCAAGCACACACTTGGTTGTTTTTAGACATGTGTGCAGGAAGGCGAGTGTGTGAGTGTGAGTGTGTCTGTCAGTCACTGGGCACTAACCTGTACTCTGTGCCCAAGGTAGTGGTTCTTGGTGATGCCAAGTCAGTATGCACCGATGATATTCTGGGCGGGGGTCCAATTTTACATCACATGATAACTGTAGGAGAAGCAAAGAAAGGATTAAAATGCCATACATTCGGATTGCACTGGCTAAGATAATGGAATCAACTCCTCAATTGTTTTTCTTTAAAAACAGTCTTTTTGAAAACTTGCATTTTGAGGTCGGTGTCTAGTGCAAGATCAAAATCTGTAGGAGGTATTGAAGGGAAATACCATGATATTGTAATATCAAAGTGTATGATGCAGTCTACGTGCACTAAGTGAAATATTCCAGAGCTGTTCCTTTACTGGGAGTATTTATCTAGAAAAAACCCTATTGTTTCTGGTTTCTGGATTACACTGCATAAAGATAAAAAATTCATTTGTATTCAAAATTCTCCTAGCTCTGACAAAAGGGAAATGGCCAATCTTTGAAACGAAAAGACAGACAGGGGATGGCTCACAATGGATTTTAACGCAATGCACTGGAAAATTCATGCAAAAGTGAAGGTCATCACAAATTTATTTCTGTTTTAGAATACTTTAGCTGTGAGATAAAGAAAAATCTGGATGCCTGAGGAAGTGCAAAAGAGAGACATGGTAAGACACGGTAAGAGAAAAGTGCATAGCCAAGAACATTAGGAAAACTATAAAAGGTAGTATGTTTCTTGGGACTTTATTTGAATAAACAATAGCAGAGTAATACATTATAATAACATGCTTTGAATCTATATTAAACAGTTACAATATTCATGATTTCTTATACAAGTGAAATTAATAATTGCCCTGGTTTTGCTAGGATAGAGTTAATTTTCTTCTTAGTAGCTAGAAAGCACCGTGTTTTGGTTTCAGTGTGGGATTTGTTATGAGAAGAATGTTGATAAGGTACTAATGTTTTTACTTGCTGCTGGAAGTCCAAGGACATCATGTTTTGCTAGTCTGCAAGTGCAAAGGACTAGCGAGGGGAAGTGTAACAATTAGCAAAACCCAAAATTGGCATTTGGA